AAGGCTGCGGTGGCCAGGAGCGGCCACTGCACTCCAGTCTGGGCCACAGAGTGAGACTCCGACTCAAAAAAAAAAAAGCTTCTGCACCCCATTGAAGACTCCTGTGTCTGTCGTAAAACTATGATCAAATAAATGTATGTGCCTTTTCCTCCAATTTAGCTGCCTTTTGCCAGTTGATTTTTCAGAGCACTAGGAGGCCAATCCACAGCCTATAACGTTCTATCACAAGAGCCCAGAGCATGGGGTCTGTCACCAGAGATAGGGGCTCTGCCTCTCTCAGCTTGGCCTGGTGGCCACCGGACTCCTCTCTCACAGAGGTGCTACCCTACATGCACCTAGTGAAGTACCCAGGGAGTCCAAGCTGGAACCAGGCTGCTGGCCTCCAGTGACATCAGATGACTTTCAGGCCACTACCTCATCCCATATCTGTACATATAAGATGCATTGTTTCTTCCTCTGCCGTCAAAATGAATGAGTATCTCTGAAGCATCTTTGTTTTCCAGATGTGAATAGATCCACTATACTGGCCTCGTCTTCCTTCCGGGAGACAGGGTGTGTCGGGACACAGAGCTATTTAAGGCCACCCGCTCAAGGCCTTGAGGAGACTTTCTCTGACACGTTTTTGGAGGTCAGGGGAGTTGCTAGAGGCATCCAATCTCTGGCCCAATGGATCCTAAACTCAGGAGAATGGTAAGTAAGACCTTCGACATTCAGAGTCTGCAGATCTGAGAGCTAGACTTTTATTTGCCCAAAGAGGATGTTTGCTATGCTCTCCAGTCAGGCGTGCAGGGCAGGCACCCAGGGTGGACCACGAGACACTGCCACTCTCAGATGTTTCTACACACTCACTGTCTCTGCCCGAGGGGTGTGGTCTTTGGAATTACTTTATCAGGAATGCTTTTGGGTGGTTGTATGTTCTTAATAATGAGACGGTATTACTGTTCAGTAGTGTATATTCAATTTTTTCATGAACTCAACCTTCTTAAATCAAAAATTTTCCAATCATTTTTCTGCTAAAAATGAGTTGCTTTCTGGAAGACTTTGTCTAAATGGTGGTAACCAACGGGGTAATGTTTGTCCTGGGCACAGGTCAGCAGCTTTGCGGGTGACTGATGACAGCTGCCTCAGTAAACACCTCCAGCTTTTTCTTTTTTTTTTTGAGATAGGGTCTCACTCTATCATCCAGACTGGAGTGCAGTGGCACAATCATGGCTCACCGCAGGCTCAGACTCCTGGACTCAGGCAATTCTCCCACTTCAGCCTCACAAATACGGGCCTGTGCTACCATGCCGGCTCAATTTTTAATTTTTTGGAGATGAGGTCCCGCTATGTTGCCCAGCCTGGTCTCGAACTCTTGGTCTCAGCAATCTTCTTTCCTCTACCTCCCAAAGTGCTGAGATTATAGGCATGGGCCACCCCACCCAGTCCCTTCAGTCTTTTCTCTGTGGGGTTTCTCAGCTCTGGGGCTGCCCTGAGTGTGGAAGTGGCTGGAACTTGAAAGCTTCTACCTGAGAAAACAAGCAGTTGATTACATTTGGCTGTGATGTTTTGCTTTTGTTGGTTCCCATACTACTTGGAAAGATGAAATTCATGGATCAGCCGGGCAAAGTGGCTCAACCTGTAATCTCAGCACTTTGGGAGGACAAGGCTAGGGGATTGCCTGACCCTGGAGGTTCGAGACCAGCGTGGGCAACTTGGTGAGACCTCATCTCTACAATAAATCACAAAAACTAGCCAGGCATGATAGTGTGCATCTGTAGTTTTAGCTACTTGGAAGGCTGAGGCGGAAGGATCGCCTAAGCCCAGCAGGCTGAGGCTGCGGTAGCCGTGAGTGTGCCACTTCACTCCAGCCTGGGCAACAAAGAGTGAAACTTCAACTCAAAAAAAAAAAAGGAAAGAATTCATGGACCATGTATTTTCATTGCAAACACATACATATACTACCAAAAAAGGAACTTTTCACAATTTTCTGGAAGGTTGATATTTAGAAGACCCTCAAAAAACGTATTGAGCTGGGCTCGGTGGCTCAGCATGTAATCCCACACCTTTGGGAGGTTGAGGTGAGTGGATTGCCTGAGCCCGCGGGTTCGAGACCCGCCTGGGCAGCGAGACCTCATCTCTACAATAAATAAATTTTTTAAAAAAGGTATTAAAACCAGTATATGTCATTGTAAAGGCAGAAACATAGTGAAAGAATAGACATCAATCTGATAGGAGCCAGAGTACAGAAGTTAGGTTTTGCCCACCTAGAAAATCAGGAAGTTTCTAGAACATGCTGCAGAATTTCTGCTCTTAGGGAAAAAGGCTCACAGCCTGCTGCCTGGTCACACTTTTTTTTTTCTTTTGAGTTGGAGTCCCACTCTGTCACCCGGGCTGGAGTGCATGCTCATGGCCACTGCAGCCTCAACCGGCTGGGTTCAGGCAATCGTTCCACCTCAACCTTCCAAGTAGCTGGAACTACAGGTGCACGCCACACCAGGCTAATTTTTTGAATTATTGTAGAGAGATGTGGTCTCACCAAGTTGCCCAGGCTTGTCTCGAACCCCTGGGCTCAAGCAATTCTTTCGCCTCCACCTCCCAAAGTGTTGGGATTACATGCACATACCACCACACCTGGCTAATTTTTTTGTTGTTTATTGTAGAGATGAGGTCTTGCCACTTTGCCCAGGCTGGACTCGAACCCTTGGGCTCGAACCCCTGGGCTCAGGCAATCTTCTTGCCTCTGCCTCCTAAAGTGCTGGGATTACAAGTGTGAGCCACTGCACCCAGTCTTTTTTATTTTAATTATGTATTTAGTTTTATTTATTCGTTTATTTTTAGTTGAACTCTCACTCTGTCACCCAAGCTGGAGTGTAGTGGCACGCTCATGGCTACCTCAGTCTCAACTTGCTGGGCTCAGGAGATCCTTCCACTTCAGCCTTCCAAGTAGCTGAAACCACAGGCATGTGCCACCACACCCTGCTAATTTTTGGATTTATTATAGAGCTGAGATCTTGCAAAGTTACCCAGCTGGTCTGAAACCCTTGGGCTCAGGCAATCTTCCCATCTTGGCCTCCCAAAATGCTGGGATTACAGGTGTGAACCACTGCGCCTGGCTTTTTTTTTTAGATAAGATCTCACCCTTTTCCCATGTTTGAGTACAGTGATACAATCATAGCTCACTGCATCCTCAAACTCCTCCTGGGCTCCATGATGCTCCCACCTCAGTCTCCCCAGTAGCTGAGACTACAAGCACAAGCCATGCCCAGATAACTAGGTCACACTTTCTATTGCTAATTTGTCACCACTCTGTCACTATAGCATGATCATGGCTCACCGCAGCCTCAAACTCCTGGGCTCAGGCAATCCTTTCTCACTGTGTTTCATAAACTGGTCTCAAACTCTTGAACTCAAGCAATCCTCCTGCCTTGGCCTCCAAAAAGTGCTGGGATTACAGGCGTGAACCACTGCACTCAGTCTATCATGCACGGGGCCTTGAACCCAAGATTGGCCAAACATTTACCTTTAAATTGGCACAGATCAAATGCTCGCCAACAGCCAGAGTAGATCCCTAGCTGCATATGGAGAGGGCTTTGTGTCACTGACACTCACTGTGGACAGGACATGGTTGTCCATTCTTGTAGCATGCTTGCAGTCACACACCTCCTGTGGGTCCTGGTACCCCGGCCCAGTCACCCTGGATGTGAATTCTAGGACCAGGAATCTTCCCCAGGGGGAATAAACTAATTCATACACCATCATACTTTTTCACACTCATTTTTTTCTTCCCACAAAAAGTAACCCTTTTATTAAAGCCATAGAACAGAACTTTCAGTTACTGAATATAAAAAGGAAAGTGCAGCTGGGCATGGTGGCTCATGCCTATAATCCCAGCACTTTGGGAGGCTGAGGCAGGGGTTTGAGACCAGCCTGGGCCACATAGTGAGACCTCGTCTCTACAAAAAATAAAAACTTAGCCAGGCATAGTGGTGCACACCTGTAGTCCCAACTACTTGGCTACTGGGGGGCTCAGGTGAAGGATGGGCTCAGGTGGAAGAAGGTTGAGGCTGTGGTGAGCCATGATGGTGCCACTGCACTCCAACCTGGGTGACAGAGTGAGACCCCAATTCAAAAAAAGCAGGGCAACCCCTTTGGGCTCCCTCCCACTGTGGGAGCTGTTCTGTCCTCTCAATAAATCCTGCTTTTGCAAAAAAAAAAAAAAAAAAAAAAAAAAAAAAGCAAAGTGTAATTTACAGGAAGGTAAGGAGAATAATGTCCATCCAGGTATGATTTGCTCTGAACTCAGGGCGTTTTTCCTTCACATTTAGTGTGAGTAGTTTTGGGATAGAGGCCCAGGAATCTGTATTTTTAAAGTACATAGTCAGCCGGGCTTGGTGGCTCAGCCTATAATCCCAGCGCTTTGGGAGGCTGAGGTGAGTAGATTGCCTGAGCCCGTGGGTTTGAGACCCGCCTGGGAAACTTGGTGAGACCGCGTCTCTACAATAAATCAAAAATTAGTTGGGTGTGGTAGCACATGCCTGTAGTTCCAGCTACTTGGAAAGCTGAGGCAGAAGGATCGCCGGAGCCCAGCAGGCTGAGATTGTGGTGGCCGGGAGCGGCCGCTGCACTCCAGTCTGGGTGACGGAGTAAGACTCCAACTCAAAAAACAAAAAAAAAAAAACAAAGTACATAGTCAGTAGTTTTAGTCTATTCACAGATCACGCAACCATCACTGCAATCTATTTTAAAATATTTTCATCACCTCAAAAAGAAACCTCATACCCTTCAGCTGTGACACTCCTATTCCCTGTCTTCCCCTGTATTTCCCCTCATCCCTAAGCAACTACTAGCCCGTTTACTGTCTCTCTAGACTATTCTGGACTTTCATATGAATGGTGTCACACAGTGTACATCCTTTTGTGCCTGACTTCTTTCACTTAATATAGTGTTTGCAAGGTTTGTCCATGTTGTAGCCTATGGCAGTAATTGATTCATTTTCATGGCCAAATAGTAGTCCAGTGTATGAATATTTCATATTTTGTTTATCTATTTGTTGGTGTTGTTTGGTTGTTTGGTTTGGTTTTTTGTTTGTTTGTTTGTTTTTTTCGGTCAGAGTCTCACTCTGTTGCCCAGGCTGGAGTGCAGTGACGTGTTCACAGCCAATACAGCCTTGACTGCTGGGCTCAGATGATTCTTCCACCTCAACCTTCCAAGTAGTTGGGACTACAGGCACGTGCCACCACATTCAGCTAATTTTCTTTTCTTTTTTTTTTTTGAGTCAGAGTCTCATTCTGTCACCCAGGCTGGAGTGGAGTGGCATGCTCACGGCCACTGCAGCCTTGACCTGCTGGGCTCAGGTGATTCTTGTGCCTCAGCCTTCTAAGTAGCTGGAACCACAGGCGTGCGCCACCACATCCAGCTGATTTTTTTGATTTTTTGTAGAGATGAGTTCTTGCCATTTGCCCCGGCTGGTCTCGAACTCGTGGGCTCAGGCAACCCTTTAGCCTCCACCTCTCAAAGTGTTGGAATTACAGGTGTAAGCTGCCATGCCCAGGTTACTTGATGGCTGATGGACATTTGGGTTCTTTCCACCATTTGGCTATTATGAATAATGCTGCTATTAACTTTTTTTTTTGTTTTTTTGAGTTGGAGTCTCACTCTGTCGCCCAGACTGGAGTGCAGTG